ATTCACTCATTAATATACTGACTAATCCATTCCATCAAAGAAAATATATACTGACCAATCCACTCTATCATATGCTTTCTCTATATCTGCTTACTAACTTCACCAGATTCCCCAACAAGGTCCTTGAACGAATATACTCTTAGGCTATAAGGGAACTATTAGTTCTTAGTCTCTGAATAAATGACAAATGAGTACCGAAAATCAACATTGGCAACACAACCCTCAATCCCTCAGCCAAAAACTTAGCAATAATTGCGTATAAGCCTGTTATTAAGCCAATTGGCCTAGTATCTCCCAACTTAGAAATGGCATTCTTCTTCAGAATAATACCAATATAAGTTGAGTTTATTCCCTTAAAAACCTCTAACCTTTGAAAGAATTCTCTCACCATCATTAAAAGCTCATCTTTAGTAGCCATCAAAACTTTCGAAAGAACATTAAAAGGAAACCATCTGGTCCTAATACCAAACTCTCCATCTTAATTCCTCCTCTCTGACGTCCACTTCCAAGTGTTCGACCAAATTGGGTGTCAACTTTTGAAAAGGAACACCCCCAACCACACCCCAAATTTATGGTCACAGGTAAAAGCTATTTGAAAATGCTCCACAATTCCCTTCTCCCTCTATATCCCTTTTCTTATAAAAATTACAAGCCCAACTTTGCGGTTTGATCTGTGTAACTTTCACAAGCAATCCTTTACTCTTTTGTTTTTTCTTCTTTTTTTTACAGTAGTTAGCAAATTTATTTCACAAAGAAATTACTATTACAATCCTTCCAGGAATAGCTAAATGATAACTTTAACAGAAACCCATCCTTCCTACATACAAAGTACTAAAAAATAAAATACAAAAGTGTCAAATCTCTTAAAAAAATTGTAGCATATTAGCACTTACACCCATTTTAGCTAAGTTATCCACTATAAAATTTTCTCCATGTACACATGAAGAAAACATGACTCCATATCAGCATAGCCTTACTTCAACTCCTCCAATATCCAACTTAAAAACTGTAGTGAATCAATTCGATTCAAAGAATCACCTTCCACCAACACTTCCTTATTTATGTTTTTTTACTAGCTTGACTTCCTTAGGGCAAAGCTTAAATCTGCTTCATTTGCTGGGGCCTTACCGAACGAGCCACAATATTTCTTTAAAGTTGTTCCATTATGTTCTCTTATTACCCCTCCAATACCAGCTTGACCTGCGGCTCCACTCTTATTGACAACCATTCTGCATATGTAATCCGAATTTTTTCACATATATCACCTCTCTCTCTCTAAATGCATTCTCAAAACAACTTATGCTTCTTTCTTTCCACATCTATCATAGAACGGTACTCTTTATGATTTTGCACATTATTGTGCCTATTTTATTGAAACCTAAAGACTTGGATGATCTACCTTTTTCATCCAAACATAAAGGTTTGGGGTCAGCTACACAAATCCTGATCCGTTATTATACTCTATTAAAGGTCATACCATATGTGACGCCATAAGTTCCCATATATTTTAACTTCCAACCATGTTCTTTTAGGCCTACCTCTTGTCTTTTTTTAGCCTTCCACTTGAAATAACTCATACCTCCTAACAGGTGTTGTACTGAGCCTGCGTTGCACATAACTAACCCACTAAGGTGTGTTTTCTTTCATCTTATTGTCTATTGATACAACACCTAAATTCTCTCGAATGTATTCATTTCGAATTCTATACGCTCTTGACCACCCAATATTTTGCCCGATAAAGCAATGTTGGTTTCACAATTGTCTAATAGAACTTAACATTCAACTTCATTGGTTTGCGGCAATCTTATAAAACTCTAGTTGCACATCTCCATTTCATCCATCCAGCTCTAATTCTATGTGTGTAATCTTCCTCAATCTCTTCATTTTTCTATATACTCCGCCTTAGTCCGGCTAATTTAAAACCTTTAGATTCTAAAGTATCCATCCAAAGTTCGAACTTTGTGTTGATGCCTCTTCGAGTCTTATCAACCAAAACTATGATGTCCACAAACAACATACACCATGATACCTCCTACTACCATTTATTAAAATAGAAAACTATGTCGAGGATAGCAACCTCTCATCCATTTGATCCATCTACCCCCCAAAACTCATCACACCCCTATTATGAAATTTATTCATCATATGAAAGATGTCTACTTTGACAGTATCTAAGAAATTGTCAAAGAAACCCCAAGGACAACCAGCTAAGCTCTTTTATATGCGCTCCATTCCCCAGGCAATTTACTAAAAGGGTTTTCACCGAAGTAAGTTTTAGGTAGAATGCTGCGGAAAGAGCATCTTGATAATGCTTCACCATTGTATTTTCCCATCATCTACTATTGCAGGAATCTTTAAACCCCGATCGCTATTAATCCTTTTCCTAGAATTTGCGATCGAAAGAAAGAAATTTGTATTAATATCACCCTCATTCAACACCTAATCCTGGATCCCTGCCTCTGGTATACCTCATCAGCAACTCCGAGTTGACCTAAGTAAAATATTTAAGGGATAAGGTTCTATAAGGCTTAACCTTTATGGAATATAAATAAAACCTCACCTCAAAAGTCCTTTCAGCGATGGAACTCTCTATGATGCCTTTAAAATCAGTTTCCAACACCAACAATAATGGTGTAGATATTGTGCATTTCTAAACACTTATTTTTAAGACAAAATGGACAGTTTAGATATAACATTCACTATTTTTAGAGCGTAAAATGCTTTTTTTTTTCACACCCATAATGTTTAAGTTGAGATGATCGATATAAAAGTTTTCCAATGCTTGACTTGTACTTTTCAATAAGTTACGAGGTGAGAATTTAATTATTTTGATAAGGCTGCAGACCTATCAAACCATTTTCCATACTTAAAAGACCCCTGAATTTAATTTTTCCATGTCCAAATCTACCAGCTAACTCAAGGTTTCCTCTATTTTGATACGATAATCACCTCTCTTTAACTTCCTTCACTATCAATTCTTTTATGATATTCAAAAACTTTTCTTATAAAATGTAATCCCACCATCCACGCCTCTCATCCGTTGTCCAACTATGATTATAAGCACATCATCCAGTGACTTATAAGCTATAACCAAGATATTTCAAATCTGAGACTCAGATTCTAGCTACAAAGGTGCATGCTCTCTCTCTCTCTCTCTCTCTCTCTCTCTACACACACTACTACTTACTTACTTACCTTACCTACCTACTACTACTACTACTACTACTTACTTACCTTACCTTACCTACTACTACTACTACGTACGTACGTACGTACGTGTGTCGTAGTACGTATACGTAGTAGGTAGGTACGTACGTAGTTAGTAGTA